GGAATTTGATTCTTCTCTAGTGTAGCAGATTAGGGACAAAAAAAAAAACCTATCAGAAGCAAAAGATAAAATATCGTTCATCAAGAGGGATGGCAACTGAACTCCTTGTGATCAGATTTATACAGCCTCTTTATCAGCACCAGCAGGTGAACTTGTGTCCCCTGGAAGCACAAATGAGCAGATATTTAATTATAATTGACAGGTTTTTTCTGGCGCAGAAAGAAATAGAACAAAATAAAAAATGCGTTTATTGCAGGCGCGGAGAAGACCACAGTAGAAAGGATGGAGCTTTTGGGGGCCTGGCCCCCAGGGCCAAAGGCTAAATAGGTCCTGGCTGGAGGAGAGGTTTAGGGGGTGGACTGCTTGACGTGGCAGACTGGGATTGGGTGGGAGCATGGGAAAAAGAAGCAGGATATTACCAAAAGGGAAGTAGGAAGTCCTAATTCAACTCCAAAGAAGGGTGGAGCTTAGCACATGGCCTCCAGTGGGCAGCGCCATATTGGCTCAGCACCATGGTGACTCAGCAGGAATCTTAGTGAGGTCAGAAACCCATCAATAATAAAGTTCCCATTAGGAAAATACCCAGGATGCATGCAGCCCTCCGGTGGAAGCTAGGGCAGGGGCAGTGAGGCATGAACTGAAGTGTGTTGGAACAGGTTTTTCAGATCTCCCATGATGGTGGGGTCTCCCAAGGGGCTAGCTGGAAATGCTTGTATGCATCCTGTAAAAATATAAATAATAAAATAAAATAAAAACTGGTAGGTATTTAAGCCCTTGGGAAGGAGACAACTGGAGGTAAAATCCATTTACCAATCCTTTTGCTGGTATTGCCTATGTCTTTGTGCAGGAGCCACCAAAGGAGGAGGCTTAGATCCCCGGGGAGTATTCAGAATGCATAAAGCATAAGCTCGGGAGATTTGGGTGCCAATCATGTACAGCCCTTCGGAATGATAGAATCATTATGAGCATTGCCAGAAAAGGCAACCACTGTCAATATTGTGGGGTTGCTAGGTGAGCCGCAGATAATTTGAGTCCTCCATCTTTGTGAATAAGTCTCAACCCAGCAAAGGAATTGGACATTCAGGTGTTACCAAGACGGCATAGATAAGGAGAAAATTATGCCATAAACAACACAGAGGGAGAGTAGAGAGTTTGGTCATGAGGGTCCCATTGATGCCCATAATCCGCTAAGAGTTGGAATAGAGAGTAATAACAGAGTAAGAGGCTGCACTGTCAAGGAGAAAGTCGATGGTCCTACCTGCGGCAGCCATGGTTGCCCAAGGCTCCATCCCACTGATGGTGATGATCGGGCTGGAGGGTGACTGGAACCTCAGGCTTCCTCATTCCAGGGACAACAGTTGGAGATCTGGACCAGGGGTCCTTTGATCCTTGGGACAATAAGCCCTCCAGTGTGGCATCTTGACACAGTTAGAGCAAGGTGACTTGGAAAGACACCCAGCATTAGACCAGTCCCTCTTCCGGTGGCCCATCTGCCCGCAGGCATGACACTTACAGTTAGCTCACTTTCCTTGGGGGAGAAGCCAGCAGGCAATATAATGTAGTAAGAAGCACCATATACATTTTGTCCTTTCATTCTCATTGCGACTTAGCTTCCTTTTTCTCTTCTCAATATTTGGTTATAAAAAAATAGAATTAGCAACATTTAGGAGGTCATTGTTTGGAATTTCAAGTCCCAGAGGTATCTTTTGCATTTTCCTAATATCTGAAGCTGGCTGGGTAAGATATCTGTCTTTATTTTTATTTATTCATTTATTTATTTATTTTGGGTCGTTTTAAGACAGGATCTCACTATGCAATTCAGGCTGGCCTTGAGCTCACTTTGTAGTCCAGGCTGGTCTTGAATTTGCAATGATCCTCCTGCCTCAGCCTCCCAGGCGCTGGGATTACAGGCGTGCACCACCATGCCTGACTAGAAATCTGTCTTTAAAGAGTGCGCATCCCTCAGAAGGGTGAGGATCAGGCATGGTATGCTTTCATACTGCCTCCTTAAGTCATTCAGGGAGCTCAGGTTCCTTAAAGAACTCTGTCAGGTTTTCATTTGTGCCTGATCAATAGTAGCTGGTTCACTGTGATTTACCATTTTGACTTTCCTGGCCTTGAACCCTTCTAGGATGCAAATGATTAAATTTCTCCAATGCTGCATGCATGTCATTGGAGTCATTATAATCCCATTTAGGAGAGTGTACAGGGGCAGCTTCAGGCCCTGTAGGACGCCTGTAATCTAAAGCATGTAGGTCATCAGATAATGTCTGGGCCCTGCAGTTCCTCGGGACCTTTCTGAATCTCGGAGTCTGTCCCAAAGTAACATTGCCACCCTTCTACCCATAAGCGAGATATTGGAAGGCATCTATATTATTTCTCAGGATCTTCTCAAAAGCTGGCCAAATCCTGTTTAATTTGCTTTAGGTCCTGCAGGTTATTGAGCCGTGGAACCTCATAAAACACTGATATCGCTGAGAACCCAGTTAGGGGAACACTGGCTTGGTTGATCACCAGTGACCCTGTAGCTTGGAAATCCTAGGATCGTACAGCAGGGTACGGTTTCTGCCTTCAGAGAGCTTTATTCGCTCTGTGTCTGTATTTGAAGTAAATCAGAATCCATTTTGGTCTGGCCTGATCATTGCCCTGATTTCTGTGGGTGTCTGGCCTTTAGTTGGCCTGGAGGGGTAGCAGGAGGGAAGTAGCAGCAGAGCCAGGATCACACGCTGTTCTCCAGGCTCCAGGTTCAGCATCTTTCCCTTACACTGCAGCCCTGGGCCTTGCCAGGGGTGGAGGGTAGGGGGTCAGCGACACCAGTCCATGGCAACCTCAGCCGATAGGCCTCCCTCTCCCCCTCTTGCCCTCACCGGTGCTAGCTGCCCCTCTGTGTTTCAAGAGAGAGTGAGAAGGAGGGCGGCCGGGTGAACCTCATTCTTTACTGGTCATCTGCTTACTCCTTGTCCTCTCCTAGAACAGGGAGCCCTGTGAGAGCAAAGACTGTGTGATCTCCATCACTTCAGATTCCCTAGGGCCTGGCCCACAGCTTGAAGGTTGGGCAGGGCTTCCCAAGGGAGGGCATGCCGCACAGGAGCAAAGGGGGCTGGCAAAGATACATCCTGGGAAGGAGGACTGATATTTGGCTTAGTAGAGCTTTCTTTTTCTTTCTTTTTTCTTTTCTTTTTTTTTTTTTTTGGTATTGGGAATCGAACTCAGGACCTTGCATGTGCCAGGCAGGTGCTTGTGCCACTGAGCTATATTCCTGACCTTAGTAGAACTTTCTTTAGCATATAGTGGTGAAATAACACTGATGAGTGTGTTGGAGACAAAGCATATCACGTGGCTTAAATGTTTCAGTATACCTTGACCGGAAATTCCACTTCTGAGAGTTTATCCCAAGAGACTAACCCACATAAATGCATAGATAAGCCTACTAGAATATTCAATTACAGCACTGTTTTTGTTTTGGGTGGTTTTTTTTTCCTTAGTGGTACTGAAGATTGAACCCAGGGCTGCACACGTCAGGCAAGCACTCTACCACTGAGCTACATCCTCAGCCATTATCTTTCCTTTCCTTTTGTCTTGGTTACTTTTCTCTCGTTGCTGGGACAAAATACCTGACCCCCAAAATTAAGGAAGGAAAGGTTTATTTCGCTTACAGTTTGTGCAGGTTTCAGTCCATACTTGGCAGATTACAAGGCAGAGTGGCACATGGCAGAGAGCTACAGCTCATGTCGGCAGAACACAGCAAAGCAACAAGCACACACACAAGGGAGGAAATGGCCAGAAGCACCCTCTTTTTCTCCCTTACATATGCAAACTATCCACCCCAGGGCGGGTGTAGCTCTCACACCCATAATCAATCAAACTCTAAAAGCCTGCCCCATGACCGCATGAGGCTTTGGGGGGACACCCAGACACAAACCATAACACCTTTCCTTTTCTTTTCTTTTCCTTTATAGACAGGATCTTGCTAAGTCATTTTGCAGGGCTGACCTCAAATTTATGAACCTCCTGCTTCAACCTCCCAAGTAGCTGAGATATCAGGCGTGCACCACCATACCTAGCCACAGCCTTCTTTTAAATAAAGGAAACAGTCTAAATACTCAAGAATAGCAGCACAATGACATAAAATATAGCTCATCCAAATGATGAGTTATTTGACATTTTTGAAATGAGGAAATTAAATTTGTTTGACAGAGAAATTTGTTCACAATATGTTGAGTTAAAAAAAAAAAAAACAGGCCACTCTGCTCTTTACTGTCATCTGTACCAGCATGAGTTATAATCTTATGTTTCTAAAGTAAATTAACATTTCCACTGATACCTACATTCATGGACAAAAAAACATATATAGGAATAAGAAGCAAAATGTTTATAGACATTATCTCTGGGTTAAAGAACAACTGGTGGCTTTTCTACTGTGTTATTATTTTTTTGTGTATTTTTCCTCATTATTCTACAATGAATATATGCATGATAGTGGTAGGTAGTTTTTTTTTTAAAATACCATGCCAAAGAATTTGAACATTACTCATAAAGTGATGTCAATTAACTTTTTATAAAGTAAATAATTGAAGATGCACTAAGCAAGTCACTGAGGTAGAAGGGTTGCACCGAGCTCCTCTGGAACGTGACACCTCTGTTACAAATATGACCCATGCTGCTTTCGCAGGCTCTGATTCCTGAGTGTTGCATTCCTGTGCAAAGTAGCGGCAAATCAGCACAGGCTGGGGCAGAGCGAGTGGGTTTAGACCTTGTCAAGTCGTGGTGACCATGGGCAGCCAAAATACGGCATTTTCAAGAAGCATCCAATTCAGGATGGTGTTTTATAAATCAGCAAGGTGGCCATGGGTAGCCAAGTTCCAATAGATCCTCTTGGGGGGGAATGATGAGTACTGTTCTAGTGTTGGGGAGCAACAGCAAACAGTGGCGTGTCAGATCGTCCTGGGGCCCCTTGGCTTGGGTGTGGCTCATGGCTGCTCTGTGACTTTTCCTTCCAGGAAAACCTGATTGGCGCCCTGCTGGCGATTTTTGGGCACCTTGTGGTCAGCATTGCACTTAACCTGCAGGTAAGTCGGTCATCCGCACCACTGGGCAGAGACACAGCAGGTAGTCAGATGTCTTACCTAGGTCCAGCTATCCCCTCTCTGCTCCATGCAGGGGTGCTCCTGGGTCAGTACTTTCTGGACTATTCCTAAGTCTTTGGACTCTGCCACACTCCCCCTCCACTACCACCGCCCCCAGCTCAGCTTCCTGTTCTCCTTCTCTCCTTCCCCACAACCCCTGTCCTTCTCCTTCCCATCCCCCTCTCCCCCCCTCTCTGGCTGTGCAGTGACTCCTAGCGGGCCTCTCACCCTGGTTTTGGGACAAGCTGGCAGCTGGAGGAGCTTCTCCGGAGGGCACCAAGAAACTGGCTTTCTGCCTGCAGGTGCATCTTGCGGGGAGGAAGTGCTAACCCCCCTGGAGGCAGCGTCAGCCTGTGGGGATGAGAGCCCTGATCTCCCGTGCCTGCAGGACTCATTTGCTCAGGAATGCACCTTTCATTGATTTCTTTCCATTCTGCCTCTCTCCCTCCCTTACTTGTACTTCCTGGAAGCATCTCCCACAGAAACTACCTGCTCCTGTATATTTGTCTCAGGGACTGCTTATGAGAAACCCAAACTGGGACCACACACCCACTAGCAGGATAAATCCCACGGCACACTGGCCGACTCCCTACGTCCCGAACTACCCAGCCTCCTGCCACCAGGAGCTGCCCTGCCTGCCTGGAGCAGCCAGGAGGCCCAGTCCCCGTGGGTGCGTGTGTGTGTTTGCACATGTGTGTCTTGTGCATCTCACGGCTGTGTGTGTGTGCATGTGTGCATATGCGTGTCTGTGTTTCTGGAAAGTGTGGTCCCGTGGCTACCTGTCTGGTTCATTCTGTTCTCTCTACAGACCAACTTCTCTGCCCATTTGTCTGCGTCCCCATGGCCGTGGCATGGCCCTCCCGGCTTGCTTGGCCTCTGAGTCAATCTGACTTTCTAGTCTTCTTCACTTAGTACCTGAGGCATATGTGTGCTCCAGGGAGGACAGGGCTCACCACTACCGACGGGAGCTGCCGGCCTCCTTCAGAAGGGAGCGTGGCTGAGCGGGCATCCCCCGTGTGTGGACTCCTGGGGACTGCAGGCGGAGGGGGAGGTCATCCGAGGGCCTGCCTAAGTGGGGAGCCTTGGACCATAGTCCGCACGCCGGACCATGCTCGCCTGTGGCACGCGTTAGAAATGCCCGTCTCCAGGCTCTGCCCACACCTCTCCTGAGCCCCTCTGAGGATCAGGCCCAGGTGTGTCATTTGGCCAGTCTCCCTTAAGAAGTTTTAAGGCTTCTTAGCCAGCTGGAGAACAACTTGTCTTAGAATAACCAGCTGGTTTTTCGGTGGCTACTGTTGCATCCTTCTCTGCAGAAGGACTCCGCAGACAGCCTGGCGGGTCTAACTGTATTCACATTTAAAGTGGGTGTACCCGGTACCGGAGAAAAACCAAAAAAAAAAATAAATAAAAAAAAAAATAAAGTGGGTGTAGATCGAGGACACATGCTTCACGGTGTTTTTTTTTTCTCCCAACACCTGGAGAAACCGCATTCCTTCTTGTATTTGTAGAAGTACTGCCACATCCGCCTGGCAGGCTCCAAGGATGCCCGGGCCTATTTCAAGACCAAGACATGGTGGCTGGGCCTGTTCCTGATGCTGCTGGGCGAGCTGGGCGTATTCGCCTCCTACGCCTTCGCCCCTCTCTCACTGATTGTTCCCCTCAGCGCAGTCTCCGTGATAGGTAAGACTGGGCCCTGCCCTTCCTTCCCCGGGCTGCATTGCATGTGTGCCCAGTGTCGTCTCAGGATCAAAGGCACTCAGTAGACGAACAGCTGTTGCTTCAGTAATAATAGCTAGCACCACAAAGGTTTCACCGCACCCGGCCTGCTATGAGTGCTCTTCTAACCCTCCCAGCAGGGTTTCCAGGGATATACAGTCATGCTGCCCATTTTACAGATGAGGAAACTGAGGCACAAAGCAATGGAGTGACTTCCCCTAAATTGTTCTGAGAGATATGAACTGGGATCTCTGGCTCCAGAACCAGACAGATTTCAGAAGTTTATCAGAAGATTCAGGAAGATTTTAAGATTCAGGAAGTTTATCAGAACTGTTTTTATTGCTATATCAGAAGGAAAAATAACCTTCCTCACACCATCAAGATGAGCCAAGCAGAGGATTCAGATTTCGTGCACCTCTGAGACATGCACATTCAGTTCTTTCTCTGATCTATTTACATCCACTGATACTATTTTAATAACATTATTTCCATTCTCACCTGCTGTTTTCTTATGATTTCCACCATTGCTGAACCAGTTTCAGAGCATACAGACCAACCAAAATACAGAGGAGCTTTAATGTCCATGATATCACAGAATAAGCAGAATTTGAAAAAAGTAACTGGGCATGGTTGTACATGCCTGTAGTCCCAGCACTCAGGAGGCTGAGACAGGAGGATCACTGTGAGTTTGAGGCCAGCCTCACTTACATAGTGAGTTTAAGGCCAGCCTGAACTGCATAGTGGGACCTTGTCTCAAAAAAAAAAAAAAAAAAAAAATTAAAAAAATTCTTAGAAAAAAAAAGATGTTAGGTGATTAGTAAACGATAGCTTGCTGTACAGCGGAGCTGGCACAGTAAACTTGCTCTGAAGGGTTACCTTCCGTTCGCCAGCAAGCGCGACCTGCCTAGTCCCTCCCTGCTCTTCAGGGAGAATGGCACGAGGGAGTCTGACTCCTTCATTCAGAGACTTCTCCTGCAGTAAAGGCATGGGCCAGGCACAGCCCGGCAACTGATGCCCCTCGGGGGCTTAGCTGTCCTCCTGAGCCAGCCTGGGAGGACCTGAAAATCCTCAGAGCTTCAGGCAGCTGCTGCCGGTCACCAGGAGTTGGCAAAGGGGGGAAGCCGATTTGCTTTCTCCGGTCCTGTTATAAGACCGTCCTCTGCCTTTTGCCTAGTGTTGGCAAACAAAGCCTACAGGGGAATGCATCCCCAGTAGGCAGTGTTTTTCCCCAGCATTTCGTAAGTGTAATTTAAGTGCTTCTCGTGGAGGCGAATCATTTGGCTTAGTCTCCACCTACTGCTGTTGTCTCCTGGCCCATTTTCTGCATTCACGCTAATTCTCAGCCACTAGAGACAGTTAGATTTGTACCCATATTTCTCTGCTTCGCCCGTTTCTGGGATCTCCCAAGAGGCCCCAGGACCTTTATTCACAGTGAGGAATTAGTGGCTAGGTGTCTAGTGCTTTCAATATTAGTCCTTGATTTTTTTTTTTTTTTTTTT